ACTGATACACACCTGTCTGACCCATAAAAATAACACATTTAATGGGGTTAGGAGCATCTCTGCTTTGTTTCCTCCTCTGGCCCTGCAGTAAGAGCTGCTTGGAGTAGTCCTGAGGTGAGATTATCTGCAGAGAGCCTCGACAGGCTGCCTTCACCCATGCCAGTCTGGGGCAGGTTCTGCCCACCAAACATCCTCCAGAAGTAACCCACGAGCCCTGTGTCCCCCAGTAGCCTCAGAGGGCCAGGTCAGGAGCAGATCAGCCTGACTTTAGAACATCCGCATCCATGACTCCTGCCAGAGCTGAGAGAGATGCACACCACTCGCAGGTCACAAGCTGTAAAATCCAGCTCAGCTAAACTGAGGTTCTTTTTAACTCAGGAAAACACTGCCCTAAGAAGAAGCAAACACTTGTGCAATCAATATTACCCGTCTGACTCCAGCTACCGAAAAGAAACCTCAATGAATCTCAAAAAAGCTATAAACAAAGAGCAAGCAGCAGTCTGGATGTGCAGTGTGGAGTGACCAATGCCAGTTCAACGGCTTAATCCAAACATAGGCCATTAATTTAAGGCGGTTATTTTTAGCAGCTGTTGAGCTAAAAACAGTGCTTGTGGAGTCAAGAAAAACAAGTAGGGAGGGTGCAAGTCTCTGCATCCCCCCTTGCAGCTGCCACCACAGTGCTGACCTGCCATGCCCTGTACCACACATGGCTCCTGGGCCTCAGGCACCCCAACTGAAGTTACTACAAGCTGTGAGCTTTTAATTTCAGATACGCTGGTGGTGTTGGGACAACCATGCTCCTCACAAGAGGTGGTTATGCTGCAACACTGAACAGCATTCACCTACATCATTGCAGTTTCTCTCTGAGATCTTCCTTCCGTGATGTAGCAACCCCAAAGTGTCACCCAAGGGAAAATTTGCCTGGAGGGACCCTGAGTCACCTCATCCCACAGTCCACATATATATACACTCACCTATAAACATATGTGTGTTTACATACAACGGAGAAGAAGCCCCAGAGTTTTCTTTTAACTTGGGAAGACCAACACTGGGTCAAACCCAAACGCAAATCACCACTTCTGTTTGCTCTCCATCACACCATGTGGCACACATGTGCTTCTTATCATGTCAACTTACATTGACATTAAAAGGGAAATCAAATCCTTTGGCTAAATGTGTTACCATTCGGTTTTGAAAGCCAGCAACAGGCAGAGCTCAATTTACTCTGTGCCTAACCTAGAGTAAAACCTATTCTCAAGAAAAAAAGTGCTGGCTGAGACAAGTATATACAGAACAAAGAAGCAGCTGGGTTTTAGCAGCAGATTTGTCACTATGTGCCCAGGTCAGCTCCTGTTAAAGATGGGAATGGACATTTGTCTGAACCCGTGGTGGCTGGCTGCAGCAGGGGATGTGCTCAGCAGCAAGGGATGCTCATATGGAAGAGTCTTGCCAGAAGGCAATCACTTGCAGGCACCTGATGGTCACCCAACACCGTGGGGCAGGTCAGGAGTCACTGGAGGTGCTCAGCAAGGCCAGTCATGCAGCTTTGCTACAGGAAGGAAAGCCTTCCCTCTCTGACCTGATACATATCCCCTGGTGTGTCAGCTTAGTTTGTAATCTTAAGAGGTAAAAGTGCTATGGAAGAACTCCCTCAGACAAGTCTGTAAGTAGGAAGATTCCACAGGAAAAGAGAGATGAAAAGGGCAATTGAATGAAAAAAAATTGTGTGAGGGAAGTAAATTCTGTCCAACAGAACATGGGTCAAGGAGCATTTGGCAAATATAAGGAAAACAGACATACAATTTCTCCCCAACATAAAAACCCCAACAACCCATTAAAGCTCTGGCTGGAGCATGGGAGCTCCAGAGGGATGGAAACAGGGACCATGCTGGGGGGAAGCAAGTCCCCATCACCACTCTCTCACAGGACAGTCCCAGCCATCATAAGATCATAGAATAGTGAGGGTTGGAAAGGACCTTAAGATCATCTGGTTCCAACAACCCCTTCTCCACTCCCACCTCTCTGCCAGCAGCACCCAAACCAAAACCCCATGCTGACATTTTGTGCATGCAGAAGGGAGGCCAGTGGTGTGGCACATCCCCTGATGCCTTCTTTCTATTTTTTCTTTTTTTAAGGTTTGATTTATCTCTGGAGGCCAAATAGGTTATCCCACACAGAGGACACTGAGCAATCAGAGACAGTCATCAAAGAGAAAGGGCTCGTGAAAATTCCCTCTTGTCAAGGCTGCCATCGTACCACATTTACACCATATTTTGACCTGAAAGAAGTCTATCAAGTCTTACGTATCAGATTTGGCCATCTGGCCCCTTCATCACCCTCCTGAACTGGCACAGTGTGCACCAGCAGTCATCCACCAGCTGCCACACGGCATCGCAGAGCAATGGACACACTACAGTGGCACAGCCAGAGACATGACCATTAGCCAGCTTTGTGAGTGCAAGGTCCTCCCACAAAGCACAGCAAGAGACCTGCCCTACCGTGAAACCTCCAGCACCCACGACATCCTCAGGACATCCACCTTGTCTGAAGCTGGTCCTGCACCACCATACAGTGCTGCGACTACAGAGTCTCTGGGCAGGCAGCAGGTCTTGAAGGAGGGAAGGCAGGATGCAGGTTGGAGTACAAGACTTACAGGAAAGTTTGGATTGCTCCAACAACTCACACCAAAGGGAGAGAGGTAAAAGGGGAATGATCAGTGGCGGTGGGGTTCCTGAAAAAGAAAAAAGGAGGAGAATTAAAAACCAGAAGTAATTTTTGAGCTGTCAGTGAAATTCTAACTCCCTGCTAAAGTTTATGGAATACATCCTCGTGTGATGTTATAATATATTATGTATCTCTATCGTTATGCAGAACGACACAGAAATGCACACCTGAGAATGTTTTCCTTCTGGAGAAATAAAAGCCCTACACAAAAAAAGCCTCAAAATTTTAAACTAACAAATAAAAGTACTTAAACCCAACAACTACTGAGCTACAAGCCACTAGTGTAAAAACACACATTATTAACGATGATATGACCCACAAGAATGGATACATGTGAGTCCAACCCTGCAAAGCCAAGCTCATACATGTCTTTAATCCCTATACTCCACGATCTGACTTGCCTGCAAGTTTGCTTGGAAATGCTGCTATCCATGTGCTCAAATTTGAGCAGCTACATTGCCAAAGAGCTCAGGAACCAGCACTCCTGGGTTTTCAGAAGTTTCATAGATGGCAGCCAGTGCAAACAGTGGAAAGCTGGTTTCCAAATTAATTTCCTGTTGTTAAGTATGCTGTTTTCAAATGTTTAACATGCAAAAATAAAGTACATAACATAGCCCCAAACCCTGTTTCCCAGAACTATCTACCTTCGAAATCCAACGGAGCTGGGTTTATCAAGGTGCCCTCTTCTGGCCTTTAAAAATAAAAGCTGTCTTGCTGTCACCTGGTTTCTTTGCTTGGAAAAGGCATCAAAATTAGCATCTGTTTGTGCAAATATTCAATTTATTTAAGAAACTGGCCAAAAAAATGCTACCACAGACCATTCTTGATAACATACAAAACATGTTTAACAATCCTTCAGTTATGCATGAGTTTATAAAAATAACTTAAAAGACTATTCTCAAAATCTCAGTAGAAATACCTGAATTCATTAACCAGGTGGGAACTTCAGCATAAGGCATTCTGCCCAGAGGGTTGGAGAACTCACCCCCTAGTCACACTGCACTACTAAACTCCTGAGAACCATTTAACAAAAGTCATCTGAACCTTTCTGCTAAAACAGAAGGAAATGAAAGACCAGATGAATAAGCACATTCATTTCCATTACAAAGAGGCATTTTTACCATTTCTTGATAAACACGTATGCAAGTTTATCCAACAGAGGAGGAATATTCAGGAATTTGTTATTTCCCATTGAAACCTGTTTTGATAGTATTGTTTTCTTAAATATAAATCAAAACACACATGGAACTAAATACAGCTTTTACTACAGGTTTTTGGAGGTTGCGTAGGAGGTTTGCTTGCTTGTTTGTTTGCTCTGGAGAGCGTTCTTTGGTTTATTGTTTTGATTCTACTGGCCCACTAATCTGAGGGGAAATCTCAGTACTGCTGTGTGCAAAGTGGCCAATTTAGACGTGGAATGGTGCAACATACAATAGCTCACCCAGAAAGGAAGGGCTTATTCAAATTTAATAAAGTTGCACAGAGCTCTTGGAAGCATAGTTCATTCCACATTGGAATTCTGTCAGTTCCAAACTGGATTAATCACATAAACTGCAAGATAAAGCTAAGATCACATCTCTGTTATATGCATGGTTGTTACTTCCAGAGGAAAAAAAAAGCAACTTTCTGTATAATGCAGCCTTAATAAAAAGTATTTTCCTTCCTCACTAAGGAAACGTTTTCACAAATAAATTACTCTAAAATAAAAAGTCACAACTGAGTCAGTCTGAAGCCAAGAAATACATCATTCTAGAAGGCACTAAACTCTCTTCAAAGAATATTTTCTTCCATAGGATCAAACACGTAGATACAACTTCCCCTCCAAAGCATGTAAGCTGGTAAAATACATGCTCATGAGGAGACCTTGCAACTGCTATAACCTAGTACACAGAGACACTATGCAACTATCTGAACTCGTGGTCATTTTGTTGAGTCCAGAAGTTCTTTGTTCAAGTAAGAAACTAGAGATGGATAAAACCAAACCAAAACAGTTGTGGTCCAGCTGTACTAGCAGTTTTTCGGTCACTGCCCACCAGACAATGCAGGCTTCAGGCTGTGACTTCATGAAAGCATTTAAATGCTCTGCTAAGCATCAGCTCTATAGTCAATATTCCCATTGCGTTGCTAATTGCCAGCCAATCACCGCAAGTGCCCAGCTCCCACAGCGCTCGTCTCCTTTGGATGATGCTCTGCTTAAGAGCTACACATTTCTGCAGGAATGTCCAAGGATGACTTCTCCCAAAACCTTTCTTCTGAATTGCACAAGTCAGACACTGCGATGAAAGCCAGTCTCTGGCAGTAACAAGAATGGGAGGTCTTTAACCTCAGCATCCAGACAAAAGGGTATTTTCACCAGATCGCTTAGTCACGGTCAGGGTGGTGAATATCTGAAAAGGAAAAATAAGAAAATAAAAAATAGAAGACTTTTAGTATGGCTGAAACGAATCCTCTTTTTTGGAAGATCAACTTGTGCATAATGCTCAAAATCACTGCCATTTCTTAAAGTAATAAAATAATAACAAAAACCATACATTTAAACTCCTTGCCACTGAAGAGCAAACATACAAATACCCTTTGCTCTCTTAATTTACTTTATGGTCTTCCTGCTAGAGTTGAAAAGAAAGAATTAAGGAAATCACATGGCTTTATACCACCTTTTGTTTTAAATGCTCCTAAGTTTGTATAGTGGGAATGAGCTCAGCAGTAATAAACTCCACTCTACACCTAATGAGTAAGTGTCTTTGTGGCTCAAAGATAACCTATTTGTAGGGA